ATATGTAACATGAAGCAATTCTAATATTCATTCATGTGAATGCCTGACTATGAAGAAAATACATTTTGCAACATACACTATAAGAACTAGAATGATTACTTCTTTGAATGATTTGTCTTAGAAATATATTACCTCTATTACAACAATTCTTCCTATTCTGAAACCAGTTGCTATTCTGTTTTTTACAACACTCCCCCCTCCCCCCCCCTCAAAAAAAAAGACTCAACAAATCAAGAACCCCCTCCATGGCATCCATTTTTCCCACCCTACCCTAGTGTATAAATAATGAATTGTTCCTAAATTGGGATATTTTTCCAGCAAAATAGATTTAATTTGATGGTAACTGTTCTGAGTATATACTAACTCATTGACTGGTAGCATTCTGCCCTTGAGTAAAATTGTCTGCCATTAGACGGAGTAATATAATTATTAAAGTAGGGCAGATTGCCACTATAAAGTGTTAAACAAATTTTAAAAAAACTTTTGCAATGGTCTATTCAAAAAGCTCTATTTGTAAATTTTAATTCGATTGACGTTTACATACCTACTTACGCTTACGCTTACGCTTACGCTTACGCTTACGTTTGCGCTTATAATTATACTTATTATAACAGCGTGCGTGCAGTGAAACTGTGTGTGTATAGCCGCCCTAAGTCTTCTACGGCGGAATAGTAATATTTCTGAATACGTTTATTCCTTCATTGATTAAATACCGTCAAACTAAAATACAATACAATATTATAAACAATACAGTACAATACAAAACTATAGTAAAACTACGATTACACACCGCACGGGATCATAAACAAAATAAACTGACTAAATACAATTAAATATGAATAATAAAGTAAACTTACGTTTGTGTAGGACTCGTATACGTTTAGGCTTTAGCTAACAACTTCGTAAACGTCGACTGATTACAAAAAGTAGCACGAATGTCACGTCTTTAAATAGATATAAATGGTGAATTTCAAGTTAAGTAGGGGCCGCTAAATGGCTCCCCTAAATGTAGCACATTTACTTAATAGTTCTGTATGGTAATTAAAGTTTCTGTTACTATTCTTCTTGCTCTCTCGGTGGGGATTCCTCTCGGTCTTCATCTTTTTCTACTATTAAAGTTAACTTTTGAATCGGTCTTTCCAACTTCACTCGTTTTCCATTTCTCGTTATTTGCAATTGAACTTTACGTAACAGACCATCTTTACTTGGGAGAACTCTGACTATTCTTGCTAACGGCCACTTGTTTCTTTGGAGATCTTCGTCATGAAGAACGACCACATCTCCAACTTGGGAGTTTCTTTTCAAGGTATTCCACTTCTTTCGTTCATATCGTAGCGCACAATACTCTCGTCGCCACCTGATCCAAAATTGTTTGGCCAGATATTGTACTCTGCGCCATCGTTTACGAGAATACAAGTCATGTCGTTCAAAGTTGCCTGGGGGATACAATACAACCGTACACTTCATGATTAACAATTGATTGGGTGTTAAGGGAGCAGGACACTCTGCAGTGGATAACTCTTCAACTACGAGAGGTCGACTGTTAATAATGTTTTCTGCTTCTGTGAACAAGGTACGTAATGATTCATCATCTAGTTGTGTGGCCAATTCTTGGAGCAGGTCGGCGAGAACTGAACGGACTGTTCTGATGAGACCTTCCCATATTCCACCTATGTGAGAAGATTCGGGAGTATTAATGTTGAATTCTATCCACAATCGTTTTTCAAAAGGTAATTGTGGATGCGATCGTAGTTGAGTTCGCCTAGCGCTGAAGTTAGTTCATTCTTAGCCCCGACAAAGTTCGTTCTCTGATCCGAACGTAATTCACGAACTTTTCCTCGTTGGTTGATAAATCGTCTCAATGCGTTGATAAATGAGTCGATTTCCATAGAATTGAGTGTCTCTAGATGAACTGCACGAGAACATAGACAAGTAAAGATTAAGCCGTATCGTTTCAGTCTTTCTTCCATCTTTGATAAGCCATGGACCAAATACATCCATGCCAGTATAGGTAAACGGCGCAGCTGGTTCCAAACGCTCTTCGGGGAGGTCAGACATCTTCTGTGTGAGGTTTGCACGACGTAACTTTCGGCATGTGACCCACTTTGAAATATAACGTGCTACAACAGATCGTCCGTTGGTTATCCAACAACCAGCTTGTCGAATGGCATTTACCGTAATTCCACGACCTTGATGGTGAACGATCTTTTCATGAAAATGACGAATAATTAGTTCTGTTATATGACTACTCTTAGGAATGATTACAGGATGCTTAACATCATACGGAAGGGATGCTCGGCGTATACGGCCACCAACTCGAAGAAGTCCTACCAGATCGATGAATGGATCCAGTCTGTATAGCGTACTCGTTCGCTTGACCTGACGGTTCCTTTCACGAGCGTCTTTGCGATCTTCGAATCTGCTTTTGTTGCCCAAAAGATTTTGCAGTACTTTAATCTTTGGAGCGTAATGATTTTGCTGGAGGCTTCGTAGAATAACAATCTGCGGGCAACAATTTTTACATTTGCAAAAAAAACGCCTGTGAAATCCCTAAAATGCAACTTTTTCTTGAGCGCTACCCCAGCTACTTGCGCGAGAAGACTGGTGATGAGTGTTAAATTTGATTCAAACAAATGTAATGATAGGTCAAAAAATCTCTTTTTTAACATGTCATTGTTGTTATGACTATTATTGAGGTAAAGTTAATTTCTTTTAGATCATCACACGTACAATGTTAAAAATATAACATACCATAAAGAAGTACAATGCGGGCACATAGTAGTAGTAGTTCGTGTTAGTTATGGATGTGCTTACAAGAACACCTATTTAGGTTTGTAATCATGGCATCAGAATATACCGCCTTCACTCGCCCTTTAACGCTGATGCCAAAATGACTGGTCATGGAACGCAGTTGGGTGATTTTCAGGTTGCCTATTTCTTCTCGTGTCATTTGGCATAGGCTTTTGCCTGAAAACAACACAGGATGAGCTACGTTTTAAAGTTTCTAGCACGTTCGACTTCACCGCAGCTTGGTGCCTCGTGAATTCTTCAGCTTCGTCATCCGATTCTGTGAAACCTTTTCTCTTTGATGCCATTCTGTGTTAGCCTTCACGCCCGTTTTTACACCATCGTTAAATTTGTTCTCCAGGAATGTTCCATGTTTTGCGCTGAACCGGTGGCCAGTTCTTTTGGGGTCCCGACAAGCCCATCCTTCTGAAACAGACGTTGTACCCACTTCTGTAGAGCCTGACATTGTAATTAATGATTGTCCCCCTCTCTCCTCTTCCAGACGGTCTGCGTAGCTTATCTTTGCCCTGTCCAATAAAGGAACATTCTGGTTTTGTCGAAAATTGTGTCTCCCGTACATCAGGTGTTGCTGCAGACGCCCATGAGTCATATAGGATTTTATGCAGCCGTCTTCTGGGCAGGAAAACAAATAGCTACAGTATCAGCTGGATCGGTACCGACTTGCCGTTCATCAATGGCCGGTTGCTGTTCGTTTGTTGAACTGTCCGGATGAGAAGATACTCCCTTTGCTCGTCTGGGCTTTATTACCACGATCCATTCGAACTCACTATCACGTGGGATTTCTAAATAAATTTATGAACACATTTCAACAAAGCACACACCTAAATGAAAGTATTTGCACTCCGTAGTCCCAGTGAGCGCAGCCTTTTTCCAAATAGGTGTACATTCTTTACACCTGCAAAAAATGTTGTTGTGGGATAGTACATTAAGATAAACAAATAAGTAGTTTAAAATGTTGTTATCTTTTTGAAGAAGAAAGATTTATTGCTCTTTTTGGGCTTTGCTACATGTTTTTTAATGTGACGACAAGGCTTTCCAATAAAGTTCATATGAATCATATAAACATAACTGTTAATTGTGAGCCATTTCTTGAGCATGTTTTGCCAGTAAATAATCAATGTTTACCTAACACCGAATAATAGTTTTCATCTACCAACCAATTAGTCCATACCCTTAAATGATGTTCAGGACTGAAAATGCCCAGCGCCGATACCATAAGCCTTGAAGGACCTCACACCCGCAGATGTTATCTCGAAGTTGGACAAACTGCTTATACCGTCCCACTTGATTTTCTTGCGTCCAGCAATCTTGGGAATAGGTACCATCCTGACACGCACCCATTTAATCCCTCCGTTGAATTCAATAGCTTTTTTAAGTTCAGCAGGCGTTGTGACGGAATTGCCCTGATTGATGTATTGCTTAACATGGGTCTTGATTTGCGCTGCCTTCCTGTCACATGGACTCCCCCCCCCGCCCCCTCTGCGGGTCACAGAAGTCAATCCGATGAAGATCCAGTGAACTTCTCTCTCTTAGTATTTTGCAGGCCAGTATTGTTGTTGCGGAGTGATAACACCCTGCGTTGTCTTGGCGGTATACCACTCTATTCAAGGTACGATTTTCACACTTCAGGGTTTGCAGGACATGTTCCATCACGCTCACTACTGTATTGCTATCCTGCACACCAGATTCAATTATGTGAACGAACGTTTGCGCGACAATCTCTCCGCCGTTGTTGCTTTGGCAAACTGTAAGGTGCCACGAAATCCCTCTTTTCCCAAAGAATTCGGCCTGTGTCTTTCTGTACTGGGCTGGTAAGAACTTCATGGCAAAGTCTTGCGTGATTAGCGTGGAATCTTCACCAAGACTGTCGATAGCATCCGAGCTACGTCCTGGTGGACCATGCGGAGCTGGTGGGATTTCCAGGACAGGAGAGCATCACACGCGGTTCTCGCTGTAAATAGAGCATCATCCTGCACGTCTTCGGGTTGGTTAGTAGACTGGATGAAGGATTTAATTAAATCTAAAGACTAAGGAAAACGAGAATTTTTTTTCAATAAAGTTACATTTTCTGTAACATCTGAGAGCTTCGGTGATGTGTCATATTCAATGACAATTTTCTCCTGAGCAGCATCAGCATGCTATACCATTGCACATTGTATAAGCACAATATGTAATTAACCGAATTCTATTTTATTGATTTCCAATAGTATTTTATTAACTTACCGCTTTCAATATTTCATAACTCTCACACTGTTGATTGTGGTGGTGGTCACAGCGTCGATGGAAGCATTTCTTCTTCGGACCGCTAAGTGCAAACACTATGCAGTGGTCAGGTACATAACTAACCATGCAACAATGGATCTGCGGAGAAAAGAGGCATGTGGTTACG